CTCCATCTAGCTTGCTCCTGGGGCTGACCAGGCCGTCTTGGGATGCTGGTGGGGGTGACCAGTGCTCCTCCTCCAGCCCCGTTAGGGTCCTGGTGCGCAGCGGAGGCCCCCTCCCCTCCGCGCCCCGGGCTGGGCTGCTTGGGCACGTCCTCCTCTCCAGCCCTGCGTCTGCAGCCCCCCGGGGGCCCCTGCTAGGGGGCTCCTGGACCCGCCTGCCGCTCTGATGAAGGAAAGGTCAGCGCAGCACTGCCCGCAGCCAACGTCCGGCCAGAGCTCCCCAGGCCTTTCCTGCAGACTTGGCTGTTCCGGCCTCACAAGATCGGGCTTGTGTGTCCTCCATGCTGAAGGGTTCTGGAGTGTCCCCAGTGAGCCGGGCGCCCAGCAGCAGAGCTGGGGAGCTCCTGGGCCCTCGGGCCTGCTCCTGGCCTCTGTGGCAGCTGTTTTTCTGGGGAGGAAAGTGTGGATGTGAGCCTGATGTGCCCACCTGACCCAGGCCCCGCAGTGAACCCCTGCCTCCCCTCCCCCTCTCCCCTCCCCTCCCCTCCCTCCCATTCCCTCACCCCTCCCTCCCTCTCCCCTTCCCTCACCCCTCTCCTCTCCTCTCCCCTCGCCTTCCCCTCCCCCTCACCCCTGCCCTCCCCTCCTCCCCTCCTCTCTTCCCCTCTACCCTCCCCCTCCTTCCTCCCCTTCCCCTTCCCTCCCTCTTCCCTTCCCCTCCCCTCCCTCCTTCCGTTCCCTCTCTCTCCTCCCCCTCTCCCCTTGCCTTTCCCTCCCCTCTACCCTGCCCTCCCCTCTCTCTCCTCCCCTTCCCTCCACCCTCCCTCCCCTCTCCCCTCCCCCTTCCTTCTCCCCTCTCCTCCCCTCCCCCTTCCTTCTCTTCTCTCTTCCCTCTCCCCTCCGTTCTCCCTCTCCCTCCCCTCCCCTCTGCCTTCTCTCCCCTCCTCTCTTCACCCCCTCCTCTTCTTTACCCTGTCCCCTCCCCCCTTCTCCGCTCCCCTCCCTCGCCTGGAAGTCCTCCCCGGGGCCTGCAGCCCGTTCCCCTTCCCACAAACAGGTTTATGGCCATGCCTGCCCAGACAGAGCTCGGCGGCAGCACCCGCTCCTGCGTGCCACACCGGCCCCACGTCATGCCCGAGAAACGTGGCACAGTTACTGCTGGGGACACGCCCGGGGTGGAGCTGCCCCCTCCCTCCCTGAGCTTAAAAGAGCACCCCCCCCCCCATGCTCACCCCCAGGACGAGGGAAAGGAGGGAGTCCATAAGGGAGAGAGCTTTTCTCCCTGGGGCGGGGAGCAGACAGAGGCTTCAGCCACATAAGGGGCGTCTGGACGTCAGCGTGGGGCGGCTCTGGGGCTCGGCTCTGGGGCTCCCCGTGCAGAGGGGCCCAGCCCACCCCTGAGCGCCCACCCTGAGCGCCCACCCTTCCCGCAGACGGAGCTGTCCCTGCAGAAGGAGCAGCTGCAGCTCAAGATCATCGAGACAGAGGACGAGGCCGAGAAGTGGCAGAAGGAGAAGGACCGCATCAAGGTGGGCTTCCCGCAGCCCCGCGTCCTCCTCCCCGCCCTGGCGCTGCCCCTGGGCCCGCAGATCCGCTCGTGAGACCCGAGAGGCCCTGTGCCCGCCCCGTCGCGGGCCCAGCCCCACGCGCTAGGGCCGGGTCCCTCAGTCTGAGCGCTGAACCCACTGTCCTGCCGCTGCTCCTGCGGGCGCAGTCCCAGGGGGCCCTGAGGTGGCGCGGCAGGACGGGGTCTGGGGTGGCGCCGCGCTAAGAGGGTCCCGCGCTGTCCCCAGAGCTTCACCACCAACGAGAAGGCCATCCTGGAGCAGAACTTCCGCGACCTGGTGCGCGACCTGGAGAAGCAGAAGGAGGAGGTGCGGGCGGCGCTGGAGCAGCGCGAGCAGGACGCCGTGGACCAGGTGAAGGTCATCGTGGACGCGCTGGACGAGCGGGCCAAGCTGCTGCACGAGGACAAGCAGACGCGCGAGCAGCTGCACGGCATCAGCGACTCCGTGCTGTTCCTGCAGGTACCCGCCCGCAGCCCCTTGTCGTCCTGCCGCCCCCCCTTCTGCCGCCTTCCTTGCTTCACCCTTTCTTCTTTTGACCTTCCTTCCCTATTTCCTTTCTCTCCTCCCTCTCCCTCCCTCCCTTCCTTCCTTCAACTCTTCCTTCCTTCCTTCTTTCCTTTCTTCCTTCCTCCCTCCTATCCTCCCTCCCTCCTCCCTCCTCCTTCCTTCCTTCCCTTCCTTCCTTCCTTCCTTCCTTCCTCCCTCCCTTCCTCCCTCCCTCCCTTCCTCCCTCCCTCCCTCCCTCCCTCTTTCCACCTTTCCTACCTACCTATCTTCTTCCTCCTTCCTTCCTCCCTCCTTTCTTCCTTCCCTCCCTCCTTCCTTCTTCTTTTCCTTTCTTCCTCCTCCCTCCCTCCCTCCCTCCCTCCCTCCTTTCTTCCTTCCACCCTTCCTTCCTTCCTTCCTTCCTTCCACCCTTCCTTCCTTCCTTCCTCCTTCCACCCTTCCTTCCTTCCTTCCTTCCTTCCTCTCTTCATTCCACTTTTCCTTCCACTCTACCTTCTTTCCTCCCTCCCTTTCTTCCTTCCTCCCTCCCTTCCTTCTTCCTTCCTTCCACTCTTCTTTCCTTTCTCCCTCCCTCCCTCCATCTCTCCCTCCCTCCCTCCATCTCTCCCTCCCCCTCCCTCCCTCCCACCTTCCCTTTTTTCTCCTTTCTTCCTTTCTTCCTTATTTCCATCCATCCATCCAATCATCATTCCTTCCTCCTTTCCTTCTTTTTTACCCTCCTTTCCTCCTTCCCTCCCTCCGTCCCTTCTTCCACCCACCCACCCATCCGCCTATGAAACTCTTCACGCATCAGCCACCTACCCAAACATCTCCCCACTGATGTCATCCATCCGCTCCATCCACTCCTGCGCCCGGTGACCCAGCTCTCCGCCATCCACCCATCCATCTCTCACCTACTCACCTAAGCGCGTCCACCTACTCAGTGCGCCGAGCCATCCCTCCGAGTCATCTCCCTCCCTCCTTGGAAGCTGGCATGTCACCTTGTACCAGCATCAATAGTTGCGCTGTCCCCCACAGTGTCAGACTTGGGGGGGGGAGTGCTGTAACCTGGGTGTCTGCGCGGTGGTTCTTATCCTGGATCTTGTCTGTCTTTCCATCCCTCCCTGCTTCTACCTGCTCGGGTGTTTGGGGGTATTCATGCATGCCCGGTGCTCTCCTAGGTGCCGTGGAGAATAGAGAAATAGGAAACATGTTTTTTTGCCCCAAGGAGCAGCAATCCAGAGGGAAGATAAGGCATAGGCAATTAGAGGACAATGGAGGAGGGTGTGTAATTAAATGATAAAGCGTCTGGCTGGGGAGATAAGGGCAGGAGCTCGGAAGGGCAGCAGGCTGGGCCTGGGCCACCCGGGGAGGAGGAGAAGGAGGGGAAGAGGAGTTCAGTGGACCTGAGGCCTGGTGGGCCCTGAGCAGAGGCGGGTGCACCAGTGAGGGGAAGGGCAGAGCAAGGTCCAAGGAGGAGGGGGAGGACGGAGCTACCTCCAGAGGGACCCAGACGAGTCATCTTCCCTCACAGTCCCAGCCCAGGTTCCCCGGGTCTTAGGACCCTCCCCTGAGCCTTGGGGTGTGCGAGATGCACTGGGGGGGGGGGGCGGGGGTTCCCAGGCAGGTGACGGCTGGTCTCCTCTGGCTGCAGGAATTTGGAGCACTGATGAGCAACTACTCGCTCCACCGCCCCTGCCCACCTACCACGTCCTGCTGGAGGGTGAGGGGCTGGGTCAGTCGCTGGGCAACTTCAAGGATGACCTGCTCAACGTGTGCATGCGGCACGTGGAGAAGATGTGCAAGGCCGACCTCAGCCGCAGCTTCATCGAGAGGAGCCACATGGAGAACGGTAGTGGGCCGGGGAGGGGACTGGGGATGGGGAGAGGACTGGGGCCCTGAGGAGGGGGACTGGGGCCCGCAGGAAGGTTCTGGGGCCCTGAGGAGGGTACTGGGCCTCAGAGGAGGGTATTGGGGCCCAGAGGAGGGTATTGGGGCCCTGAGGAGGGTACTGGGGCCCGGAAGAAGGTACTGGGGCCCTGGAGGAGGATACTGGGCCTCAGAGGAGGGTATTGGGGCCCAGAGGAGGGTACTGGGTTCCGGAGGAGAGTACTGGAGCCCAAAGAAGGGTATTGGGGCCCCAGAGAAGGGTATTGGGGGCTCAGAGGAGGGTATTGGGGCCCGGAGGAGGGTATTGGGGTCCGGAGGAGGGTATTGGGGCCAAGAGGAGGGTATTGGGGGCCCCAAAGAAAGGTATTGGGGCCCAAAGAGAGTATTGGGGACCAGAGGAGTGTATTTGGGCCAGGAGGAAGGTACTGGGGATCCAGAGGAGGGAACTGGGGCCTAGAGGAGAGTACTGAGGGTCAGAGAAGGGTACTGGGGGCCAGAGGAGGGCATTGGGAACCGGAAGAGGGTATTGGACCTAGAGGAGGGTATTGGGGCCCAGAGGAGGGTACTGGGGCCCGGTGGAGGGTACTGGGAGCCCGAAGGAAGGTACTAGGGCCTGGAGAAGGGTATTGGAACCCAGAGGTGGGTATTAGGGGCCTGAAGGAGGTTACTGGGACCCCAGAGAAGTGTACTGGGGGTCCAGAGAAAGTATTGGGGGCCCAGAGAAAGGTAATGGGGCCCGGAGAGGGTATTGGGTGCCCCACAGGAGGATATTAGGGCCCGGATGAGGGTATTAGGGGCCAGAGAGGGGTATTGGGGCCCAGAGAAGGGTAGTTCAGGACTGCCCAGTTCAGATGCTCAGTCCCTGCCCCCTGCCCCCGCCCTGGGCTTGCCGTTGGCAGGGATGGAGCCCCCACACCTCACTGGCTCTGAGGCCTCCCCGCGTGGTGTGTGCCATGGGTCAGCCTCGGGTAAAGCTCCACAGAGTCCCACGGAAGCTCAGATTCCCATGGGGGGGTGGCGTCTTGAGAGGATGGGGTGGTGCTGGCCTGTCTTGGCTGCGCTGGGCAAGGTTGAAGCCTGAGGGGCACTGGGACCCACCCATGGAAGACCCCCCAGCCCATGAGAGCACCACCTCCCACAACCCTTCCCAGCCAACCAGCCCAACTTGGAATCTGCCCTTCCCCCCGAGGATGCAGCTGGTTCAGGACTTGAACCCCAGCTCTGCCTGTGGGACCTAGGAAAGCGGCCCCAGTCCCCTGTCTGTCTCGGCGACCCCAGAGGCTGCTGAACAGAGAAATAAGAGCGGACCTCACAGGGGCCAACCGAGGTGCAGACACCCCAGGGCCCAGATGTGGGCCCTGAGCCCTTCCTCTGAGGGGGCCAATCCCTGGGTTGGGAAAGGGAGAGCCAGTATGCCTTGGAGCAGTCCCCTCACTTGGCTGTGTCCCCAGGGAGTGACCACCGCTACATGAACAGTTACAACAGCTACAGCAGTGAATGGAGTGCCCCAGAGACCATGAAGAGGTACTCGATGTACCTGACACCCAAGGGTGAGTCAGCCTGCCCTCGGCTGGGGGGCTTGGGGTGGGTCTGCCTGCCCTCAGACACATATGCACACGTTTATATATGCACAGACGTGTGTACATACACACATATGCAAGCACACACAGAGACATGGGTGTGTGCAAATGGTGGGAGGGACTGAGGGGCCCCAGAGGTGAGCTCAGGAGACAGGAAACTCTGCCCCACTCAGGTTGGGCTACTGGGGGAGTCCGGGCAGACAGGGACCCTCCCCCCACTCTGCCTGTGGGAGTCAACACCCTGCACGGGTGCAGACAGCTGGGGTGCCCTGGGCTGGCCTGGGTCAGGCGGGACGGTGGGGTGAAGGGACAGGTTTCTGCAATGCCCCCTGTGCTGGTGTCAGGAGGGGTCCCTGCCCTGAGAAGGGGCTGAAGGCAGGCCAGGAGGGGCCAGGAGAGTGAAGGTGCCTGTCCTGGGAGTCTGGGGGGGGCGGCACCTAAGGGAGACACAGGCCTCGGGGGGTCCCCACACCGCTGCCCCTGCTGGCCCCCGCCCTGACTGGCACCCCTGGCCCGTGCACTGGTGACCCTCGTGGCTGCTGTGGGTGCCCACCATCCTAGGTCTCCAGGACTGCGTCCGGGGGATAGGGGTCCCGCCTCTCGGAGGGGGACCCGGGATGACTCAGGTCTTGCACTGTACCGTAAGGTGCTTCTCAGAGCCAGCAGCCAGGCCCCAGGAGGTGCGGGGCAGACTGGGCAGGAGCCGGAGGGCCCTGGCCTCGAGTAGCCCCATTTCTGCCCCACAGCCGGAGCCCGGACGTCCTACCAGCCCGGGTCGCCCAGCCGCCTCTCCAAGGAGACCAACCAGAAGAACTTCAACAACCTCTACGGCACCAAAGGTGGGCGCTGGGGTGGGTGCAAGCACTCACACGTATGTGACTGTGCGGGTGCGTGTGGGAGGAGTATGCGTGGAGGTGCTAGTGTGCATTCTGCGTAGGAATGTGCATGTGTGACGTCACCCACGGGCAGGGCAGTGGGATGCGCCTCAGCCCCTGTTCTCCCCAGGGCTCAGCAAGTACGGAGGCTCGGGATCTCCCTGACAGTCCAGTGCTGAGTTGGACCAGGCCACTGGGGTTGGACCACATGTACCTACGGCCAGAAACAGGGGGCCTGGGCGTGGTCTGTGCCCCTGAACCCGCCTGTGGGCGTGGCCAGTGCCCGAGCCCCGCCTGTGGGCGTGGCCTATGTCCAGAGTCCTGCCCGTGGGCGTGGCCTGTGCCCCTAGGCCCGCCTGTGGGCGTGGCATTGCCCTGCTAGTCCCGTGGTGAGACCTAGCACCGGACCCACCATGAGGACGGGAAGGACATGGGGGGCTTGTGAGGATCCTCCCTGTGAGATCAGGTTCCTGAGGAGCAACACTGCCCCGTCCCCCCAATTCACGACAGGCAGCCAGAGGTGACGCAGCATCAGCCTCCCAGCACCTGAGTCAGCTAAGGGGGCAGCCCCCAGACAGGGGTCCAGCCGTGTGGGTGGCTCAGCCTGGTAGCGGGGACGGGGGGCCTGCGGGGGCCCCACCATTGTGTGTGTGTATGGACACAAGGGCCAGCGGGCTGGGCAGGGCCCCACCACTGTGTGTGTGTGTGCATGGATAGCAAGCAGGCGGTCTGGGGGGCCTCGCGGCAGCCCCTGGGGTGTCGGGGCCCCTTGCTGACACTCTGGTCCGTAGGGAACTATACATCGCGCGTGTGGGAATTCTCCTCCACCATCCAGAGCTCTGAGGACTCGCCCCCCGTCCAGGGGAACTCCTCCTTCTCCCTGAAAGGTGAGCCCCGCTCCTGAGCCCTGGCAGCCCTGCACCCGAGCCTGGGGTGCACCCCCCTCCCTCCCTGCCACAGAGGCTCTTCAGCCTCACCCCCACACTCCTCCACCTCAGCCCCCACAATGCCAGGGCTGCCGGGGGTGGTGGGGGCAGGTGGTCTCAGGCTCCCGGGGGCCACCTGTCCCCCAAACTCTGAGACAGGCCAGTGACTCAGAGGGTCGGTCTCCTGTGCCCTGGGCTGGGTGATGGGAGCAGGCTGGAGCCAGACCCCAGGGGACTCCTCATGTTTCCTTGGAAAGCCGGGGTGCCCTGGGCTGGGGCTCAGTCGGCCTGCCCGTGGGGTCCCAGATTCAGGCCCAAAGGAAGGGTAAATGGGTCGAGCGACAGAAGGTGGGGAGGGTTGACCCGGGTTCAATCCCTGGCATCCTATATGCCCCCCACCAAGCATGCCAGGAGTGATCCCTGAGTGCAGAGCCAGGAGTAACCCCTGAGCATCACTGGGTGTGACCCCCCAAAAAAGTTAAAAAAAAGAGAGAGAGAGGCTGAGCAGGCTGGAGTGGGCAGCTGGGGGACACGCAGCCCCCCAAGGGGCACTCAGGCTGCAGACCGAGGGCTCTCATAACAGGGGCCAGGGGAGGGGGAAGGGGCTACCACCCGGCTGCCAGCGTGGCAGCCCGACGGCCACTCCAGCAGTCCCAGGAGGCGGGACAGGAGACAGTCCCCAGTGTGGCCAGGGGAGCCTGCACACCCAGCATCCCCCTGGGGGAGCCCCCGGAGGAGGCAGCGGCCCCTGGGCCAGGCGCCCCCAGGCTGCTGACGCTCCCTCTCTCCCGCAGGCAGCGGGAAGGGCCCCTATCAGCTCAGCACCCTGGGCCGGGCCACCGCGGAGGTGTCCAACCCTCGGGAGCGCGGTGGGCCGCTCAGAGACCACACGGGTACCTGCCTGACCCTTGCTCCCGGGGCTCGTGGCCCCCAGACCCCCCTGGCTGAGGGGTGCTGCCGCACTGCTACCCTCCAGAACCCTGCCCGCTGAGCTAGGCTGCCCACCCCTTCCTGCGGCTCCCCAGGACCCCTGGGCCCTCTCCCGAGCAGCGGGTGAGATCCACTGGTTTCTCATCCGCGTCCTGTATCTTTCCCCCCCCCCCCAGCTGTGGGGACATGGGAAGGAACCCCTCACACTCCCCTGACCCCCAACCCCACACCTATACCTTCTGGCATGGAGCCCCCCCTTGGCGGCTGCCTGAACCCCAACCCCATGCAGGCTCCAGCGAGCTGAGCAGGGTCCCCAGGAGGGGGGCTGGCATCATGTGGGTGCTGGCTGGGCGTGGCCTCATGCACGGGCAGCTAGGGGCTGGGGCGGGGGTGCTGGGGGTCTGGGCAGGGGTGCTGGGGGCCCGAGCGGGGGTGCTGGGGGCGCTATGCTATCTGCAGGGAGGCAGAGGAGGCTAGGTAGCAGGGCCGGGGGGTTCTCAACCTGAGCTAGGGTGACCTGCTCCCAGTCCCCCTGGCCTGCTCCTCCTCCTTCTGTCTGTCTGACTGCCTCCTCCCTTTGGTTGGCACCCCCAGGATTTCCTGTGGTGCCCCTGGCTCTTGAGGGGCCGTGGAGCTTGGTGGCTCTTTGGAGAAGGATGTGAGCTGCCTGGTGCCTGCGTGGGGCAGCAGCCCTGCCCCCCTCACCCCCGACTCTCACCCCTGACTCTCACCCCTCAGGCTACCCCTCCCTCCTGCGGAGCCAGAGCCCCAAGGCCCAGCCCCAGACTTGGAAATCTGGCAAGCACACCATGCTGGTGAGTGAGGGGCCCCGCGAGAGCCCACTGGGACAGGCATGGCCCTCCCCACCCCCACTGTTCCTTCTTGTGTAGGGCCCGTGAGAGGATGGAGCGAGGAGCTGGGATGAAAGGGCCTGAGCATTCAGCCAAGATGGGCCTGACCTGAGCACCTGCATTCAGCCAAGGGTGGGCCTGACCTCAGCACCTGCATTCAGCCAAGGATGGGTCTGGCCTGAGCACCTGCATTCAGCCAAGGGTGCTGGAGAGACCGGGGCCAGGCTGTGGGGGCCCAGTGAGAGCCGGGTTTGTCCATCTGTGTAAACGTGGACATAAGAACTCCTCAGGCGAGGGTCCTGGTGTGCCCTGAGTGGGTTTCCTGCAGAGCAGGAAGGGGGGCACTAGGGGGTGTGGGGGCTTCTGTGAAGAAACCACTTGGATGAGGCTCAGGTCATGCCCGCGACTGGCTGGATGGAGTCTAGGTCGGGCTTGAACCCGGGACCAACCCTGGGCAGAGAGCCCAGGGGTTAGAGCGCAGGGCTCAGGGGTGTGGGAGCGCCGTCTGGGGTGCCCTGACGCTTCTGTCCCCCCGCAGTCTCACTACCGGCCGTTCTACGTGAACAAAGGCAACGGCATCGGCTCCAACGAGGCGCCTTGAGCAGCCGTGCCCGCACCCGGCCCCAGCCTGCCCCCCGCTCTCGCCTGCTCAGCTCCTGCTCTCGGGCCTGCTCTACGCTGGACACTGGTCGTCCCTGGCCAGGGGCGGGCCACCTCCTGCTGGACCCCCCTCTGCTTGCTGGCAGGCTGGGTACCGGGTGCCCAGGCCTGCGGGTCACTGCGGGGCGAGTGGAGCCCGTCACCTTCCAGTGGGCCGCCCCTCCCCCAGCTGCCCATCGAGAGGATTCAGAATTGGGGGCCCCAGTGCCCGCCTGGCGGAGCTGCCCCCCCTCTGCGGGGAGTCCCCGTGGGTCCACATTGCACTGCCGGGCCTGGGGACTCACTGTGTCTCCCTCCTCCGAGTCACCCCGACTTTCCGGGGGGGCCCGGTGCTGGCCCCGGAGCTGAGGGTCTCCCCAGCCTCCTCCTTCCTCTCACTGCCCCTTCGTGGCCCCAGGCCTGGGGAAGAGACCAGACGCAGGGCTGTGGGGGGCGGTGGCCAGCTTGCAGGGGTGAGGGGGCAGGGAAGGGCGTTCTGCTTGGCACCCCCCTCCGGAATAAACTGTTTATCACTCCCTGTCGTGTGTGACCTGTGTCTTCCTGGGCCCAGGAGAGCGTGCCCCCTTGCCCTCCCCCAGTGATGCCTGGGGACCCCCACATCCTCATTTCCCGCTGAGTGCAGGGGTGCATGGTTGCCAGGCCTTGGCCAGAGATGAGCAGCAGAGGGAGGAGGGGGGTGGGGAGCAGCGGGCCCCCAGGTCGGCCTCCCCAAGGGAGCCGCTCTCCCAGTCTGAGTGCAGGCTGACCAAGGCTCCCACTGAGGGTCTCGGCCAATGATGGGATCCGGGGGAGCAGCCCTCCTGTTTTTTTTCCCATTTTGGGTCACACCCGGCAATGCCCAGGGGTTACTCCTGGCTCTGCACTCAGGAATTACTCCTGGCGGTGCTCAGGGGGACCATCTGGGATGCTGGGGATCGAACCCGGGTCGGCTGCGTGCAAGGCAAACGCCTTACCCGCGTGCTATCACTCCAGCCCAGCCCTCCTGGTTTGAGAGTCCAAAGAAGCAGGTGAGGCCTCCTGTCCCATGAACCTGGAGCAGCCTGTAGGGCAGTCAGAGACGGCTTCCTGGAGGAGGTGAGCAAGCAGGGAAGAAGCTTGGCCAGGATGGAGGGAGCCAGGGTGCCTCCTGGAGGTGGGAGCTCAGGGCGCTCTTCCTTGCCCCATCAGCTGTGTCCCCCACCCCCAGCTTGTTCCTGCTGTCTCTGGGCTGACCGCCCCATCTCCCTGGACACTTCTCCTGGCCTTCCCGAGCTGGTGTGGATGGAAGGAACCGGACAGCTCAGGGCTCCGTACAGGGGTGGTGGGGACCCCCCATTCCTGAGGCCCCGTCCCACGGGCCCGGGACCCCATCAGAAAGGTTGCGGGATCCCCACACTGCCTGTGCTCTCTGGTCTGGCCCGCGGGTCCACCCCCGTCTGTGGTGCCGGGACCCCCAGACCGGGCTCCTGTGGACAGGCGTCCGAGGGGGCACGGAGTGAGCAAAGGCTGCAGGGAGCAAATTGTCCCTGCGGGGGGCGTGGGACGTCCACGGCCGAGGGCCATGCTGTGGAGCCGGCTGGTCCGGCCGCCCCGGCCCAGCTGTGACCTCGGCCCAGCTCCAGCCTCTGGAGCCTCCGCCAGGCCCGGGCCTCCTGGGAAATAAACAGCCGCACACCTGGCAGGGCACGTGCTCCCTAATTGGGACAGGAAAATATTATTGTTGTTGAACTGGCAGCAGCCGCAGCAACAATGTCCCCGCGTGGGACACAGCCTGATTTTCTCGTCCTCCGGAGCCCGGGGCCTTTGCACAGGAAGGTGTGGGGGCCGCTGGACCGTCCCCACCTTTCCGGTCCCCTGCACCCGGGCGCCCTGCAGTTCTGAATATGGCCGGCAGGTGGCAGCATCCCACCGCAGTTATTGGGCCCTGAGCCGACCTTCTGCAGGTGGGCGGGGGGGACTGGAGACCCCCAGTCTTTGCACTCCAGAAAGCCCCTTCAGCCCGGGGAAACCGAGACGGAGACGTGGAAGATGACAGGCAACCAGGTGCTCGCGGCTTGCTCCTCTGAGCCCTGCCCCCCTTAGGGCACAGGGGATCAGTGGAGGGTCCTCTCCCCCCCCCCCCAGGGAGGGTCCCAGGGCTACTGAAGGAGTTGGGGGTCCCTCTGTGCAGGGCCCAGCTGCAAGCTCTGGGGAGAAGCCTGGCGCGGTGGGGGCGGGAGGGGCCAGGGTGCAGGAGCAAGCAGCCTGGAAGTGGGGGCAGAGGGGTGAGCTGAGAGTCACGGGGGAGCTGGGGGCGGGCGGCTGTGGAGGGTGGTGTCTGGGACGGGGCCTGGGGTCAGGACAAGCCCCTGCTCGGGGCCGTGTGGGGGCCTGACTTGTCCTCGGGGCCACGGAGCGTAGGACTTCTCCCACGTCCTTCCTGCGCCCCCTCCCCAAGTCACCTCTGCAAAGCGGGGTACAGGGGGTGAGAGGCAGCAGGCAGAGGGGCACTGCGAGGCCGCACTAAGAACCCACCAGGCCCAGGTACTCTGGGAATGGACGCAGGTGTGCGGGGGAGGGGGAACCTTCTCTCCTCCCCCACTCTGCCGGCTCCAACGCCACTCGTTCCGGAGTGGGCAGATGCCGCGGTCTTCACCCCTGAGGCTGAGTCTGGCAGAGAAGCCAGATCAGAGGGAGGGAGGCTAATGCCTCTCCCCGCGGGCCCGGCTGGCACTCCATGCACGGGTGGCCGGGGTAATTAATTTACACATTTCATTCTGCTTAAACTAACCGGCTCCTCTGGCCGCCTTCTCCACGGGGCCGGCTCATGCTGGGCCTGCCAGAGGCGTCCTCCGCTGGACCGCGGGGATGCCGCCTTCGCTGTTGCCTGGGCCCCTGGAGCTCGGGCTGGTCTCTGAGGTCACCCCAGCTGCCCCATGGGCCTAACATCACAGGAGGGAAAGGGGAGGGGGAGCTCCTGCATCCCCACTCCCAGGGCATGAAGACCCCCGTTGTGTGTGGGGGCTCGCAGGGCGCGGAGTGGAGGTGGTGCGGGTGCTTGGGGGCGGGGGAGAGGGGAAGCCTGGGCTGAGTCGTGGTAGGGGCGGGCAAGAGGCTTCCTGCTGGGTCCCTCCCTCCCTCACCTCTGTGTCACTGGGATGCATCCCCTTCCTGCCACAGTCAGTGTCCCCAAATCAGCAAGGCAGGTGTGCGAGTGTGGGTGTCCCTGGGGGTCTGGGTGGGGGTGGGGAAGCTCAGTTTCTCCCGGATGGGGAAGGGGTGCACCTCAGACGCTCCACGGGGGTGAGGGGGCCCTCCTCCCCCAGCAGGGTCAGGGCTGTGAGGGGGAGCGGGATTCCCTGCTGACTGCAGACCCCGGGGCGCATTGGGGCCACCCCACCTCTCTCTAGGCCCCCAGTCGGGGTCAGCTGCTCCTTCCCACCATGTCTCTGTCCTGGGGACGCTCCCAGCTCCTCCCCGGCTCTGGGGTTCCGCTTGGATGTTCCGGCTCCAAATCCTGCAGGATTTAATATCCACTGTAATCTACCGGCACCCGTGGGCATTAGCGAGGGAAACTCAAATTGAAAACGCCCCCGCCTCTATTTCCCGCGTGCAGTCGGAGAAGGCGGCTGTCCCGCACTCATGGAAGCCCCCCGTCCCACAGCCCCCTCGCTCTGTGGTCCTCACAGATGCCCCCCCCCCCACGCACCCCAAGAGAGCAGGGACCTGGAGCCCCTGGCCGGGAGCAGTGAGCCGGGCCCGCTGGGTCTTTAGTTTCCTTGTAGATGCGATTTGGCAGTAGGAAGACAAAACAAAAAAAGCAAAATATGGAACTTACTCTAAGCCCCCTACCCCAGGTCCCATGACTCAGAGTCATGCTCAGGGTCTGAGGAGCAAGACAGAGACCCCCAAAAGCTCGCACTTCACACCCCAGAGTGGGCCCCTTTATGAAGTATTAAACCCTTATCCCGTCCCCCAAGCCCCTGGCGTTGTGGCGAGGGCCCCGGGTGTGTGGGGTCTCAGCCCCACTCTGAGCTGGGGTGCCCCTGTGCTCTCTGGGGTACTCACTGGGGGTCACTGTGGCTCTCCCTTGTGTGGTTGTTGGTGTCCCTGATTGCTGAGCAGCTGGGACCAGGCCTGGGACAGGACCTCAGGGCAGGTCCTGGAGGACCCCGAGATTTCCCGGGCCGCAAGAAATGAAGCTGCCCACCTGAGACTCATGCAGACTCACAGGTGTCCGCGATAGAGCAGAGGGCCAGCTCTATCAGCCAGGCTCTGCTCAGGGGGCTGCATGGGGTCTGACCCCCCCAAAGGGAATAAACAGGGGGTCCCCCATGCCCTCGGCCCAGGCCCTGCCCTCCTGCCATGACCACCTTGCAAAGCCAGAGGTTTCGCAGTGTCCACCACAAGTAGCTTCCCGCCACCTCGTCCCCTTGCCCTTGGCCCCGTCTCCAAAGCGCACTGGACTCTGGGCTGTGGGGTCTCGGGGACCTGAACGCCCAGGAAGGTTGCGGCCTGCTCCTGCCCCACAGACTGGCACCCAGGGGCAGGGGCTGGGCTCTGCGCAGTGCTGGCTCTCAGAGGCTGGTGGAGGGGTGCCCGGGGGGCTCCCCCTGCACCCGAGCATCCGGCCCTGGGTGGTGAAGGTCTCCATCCGGGGCACCAAGCAGACCCACCCATGCAGCACAGCCCGCTGAACCGGGGACTCACCCTGGCCTGCTTTTCAGGCTCTGGAGGGGGAGCTCCTGAGATGCTGGGGCCGGGTGGGGGACAGGGATGCAGGGAGTGGGATGCTGGGGCCAGCAGAGTGTCACCTGCTGTCCCCAGATGCATCCCTAGATGAGGTTGCCAGCCCTGTGACAGGGTCAGCCTTGGGGGCACAGGGGTCGGCCGGGGGCAGTGTCGCTCAGGAAGTTAATCAACCGTGGGATTGCTCAGAAGTCCACAGTGAGCGTCTCCCTGCCCGCCCGCCAGCCGCTGGCCCCCACTGCCCCCGGCAATCCCCAAGGCCTGAGGGGCAGAGCTGGGCTTAGGAACGCGTGTTTGCATGGGGTGGGGGTGGGATCC